TTTTTTTTTTTTTTTTACAGGATTCAGACTGAAGGTACAATTTTAATTTAAGAACTATTAGTGTTGTTATTATTAATACTTATTTTATATGAAGTAGGTTTTGAATATATTAATTAAATAAATTCAATTTTGAACTTGTATTTTTATTTATTCACTCGAATGAGTAATAGGAACATGAGCTGTAGGTAATGAACCTGGGGCGAATCCAGGATTTTTTTAGGGGGGGTCCAACATTTTTATTTTATCTGTTCTCTAATTATAAATATAGTGTAATTAAATACCAACAAATTACTGTTAATAACTATAGTAATAGTCACAATAGTAATACATACATCACAAATATTCTGCACAAAAGTTTACTATAATAGGTTAGGTAGGTACTATAATTTGAAATCAATTTTTATTTGGTAGCAGTGGCGTAGCCAAGGGGGGCTAAGGGGGCTATAGCCTCCCCTATGGGCCGTGTTTATATGTATAATGTATCTTGACTATTTAATAGAATTAATGCTCGTTTTAATCAAAGGCTTATTGATGTTATGCTACTTGAAGGACTTATTCCGGCCAATTTAAATATGTATGACGATAAAAATATTATAAAAGCTGCTAAAATATATGTCCAAGATCTCCATGATGATACCTCATCTACAATCAGGGCTAACCCGTTCATATGGAGGCAACAATGGAGTCAAAATACTATTCCAAAACTGAATTCTGCTCTTGATTCACCCTCTCATCGCATCAATCTTCGACCTAACATTAAAATACTTTTACAATTATTCGCCATGTTACCAGTTACCTCTTTCACTCCGGAAAGAACGTTTTTAGCACTTAATCGCTTAAAAATTTTTTTAGGAAGCACCATGTCGGAAAACAGACTGAATAGGTTAGCTATGGCTAATATAAATAAAAAAGAGCAATTCGATGAAAGTGAAATAATAACTGAATTTGCCAGAAATTCGCCTAAGAGAATGCAGCTGTCAGAGTGGAGTAAGTGACTGAACACTGAAACCAAAATTATTATTATTATAATAAATTATATATTAATAAATATTTTTAAAACTATACTAAAATGCTTAAATTACGTTTAGAAACTTGGTGGTAGATGGTGGGGGGGTTAAGGGTAAATTCTCATATCCTCTCTTACCTCACTTATCCAAAAAAAGTGGATACCCCCCCCCCATTTAAAAATCCTGGCTACGCCACTATTTGGTAGTAAAATGTTTTAAAAAAATACATTATTTAATTAACAATAATAAATATTAAAAAAACAGCATAAATTAAACATGATTTATACATTATAGGTATATTATATAACAGGGGTGGCCAGCGAGAAAAGACTTGCGAGCCACCAAATATATTAATAAATATGGAAGAGCCAAAATGTAAAAAAAAAAAAAATATATGATATTGTATTATTATAAATAAGATAAGTTAAGGTATGGTATTTAATAAAATGTGAAGAATAAGATAACAATAACTGTACAATAATCTCAAATTAAATTTTATCTTCATAAATACCATAAATATCAAAATATCATACAGACATAGACACACATGGATAATGGATATTATGTCTTCATAGTGTTTTTTGACGTCATGCGTGTAACAACACAACATTAATAAAATAATTATTATGTCTAAGAAACGCAAGTATGAAGAAGAACACAGAGAATTCAAATTACAATGGGAAGAAGAGTTCTTTTTCATAGAACGAAACAGTAAACCATTTTGTCTATCTGTCAATCCCAATTATCACAATTTAAGGTTAGTAACTTAAAACGTCATTATGAAACAAATCACAGTTCGTTTAGTAACGAATTTCCTACTGGTTCTGATTTGAGAAAAAATAAATTAAGCACAATGAAATCAAAATTAAATAAACAAACCAATGTTATGGCGGTATTTTCCAAAGAAACCGATATAACTACTGAAGCGAGTTTTTTGTATGGCGTTTAATATTGCTCGAGCAAAGCGCCCATACACAGATGGGATATATTTAACAAAAAACATTTTAGATGTTATTTCCATTTTAAAACCGGAAGATAAAAAATTATTTTATATGGTTGAAAATATTTCGAATAGTAGACATACTATGGAAAGGCGTATTTCAATAATAAGTTCAGAAATTTTCTCTAATTTACAAAATGAAATTGCTAATTGTTCTGCATTAAGTTTAGCGTTAAATGAATCTACTGACATTCAGGATAAACCACAGTTAGCTATTTTTGTACGTTATGTGACGATGAATATAGAAGTGAAAGAAGAATTATTAGATCTTATAGCTCTTAAAGAAACTACTAGAGGTTGTGATATTAAGGATGCTCTTGACGTAGTACTTCGTAAAGCAGAAGTACCTAATGCAAAAATTGTTAGCGTCTTAACTGATGGTGCACCCAGTATGACAGGTTGTAAAAATGGATTGATAGGTATTTTAAAAAGTGATACTGATTTCCCAGACTTTATTCCAATTCACTGCATTATTCATAGAGAACACCTAATGGCTAAATATTTTAAATATGAACATGTGATGAGTGTTGTTCTTAAAATTGTGAATTACATACGTTCAGATTCAAAAATACATCGCCAATTTAAAAACTTTGTTGAAAGTTTAGAGGATGACATTCCAAATGATTTTCCGTGGTATTTTTTAGTTCGATGGTTATCGGTAAATAACGTTTTAATAAAATTTTTCGATTTATTAGAACCCATTAAAACATTTTTAAAAGAAAAAGATAAAAATTTTCCACAACTTTCAGACCCACAATGGCTAAGAGATATGTCATTTTATACTGACGTTGTGCATCACTTAGTCACATTAAATATGTCGCTTTAAGGTAAAAATAAATTTATAAATAACCTAGTACAAGACATTTTTAGTTTCCAAAATAAGCTTAAACTTTTTCAAAGAGACTTAAGAACAAATAATTTAAACCATTTTCCGTATTTAAAAAAAATTGAGGATTATTTGGTTGGAATAGCAACAAAATTGAATTGTAAAGATTATGTACAAAAATTAGAGTGTTTATCAACTCACTTTAAAGATCGATTTAAAGACTTGAAATTACTTAAACCTTCGATTACATTTCTAGAAAATCCTTTTGTAATTAACGTTATTGAAAATGGATGTCCAATATTAAAATCAATTTCAATGGATACGGCAGCTTTAGAAATTGAACTCTTAGAATTATTGGAAGATGAAGGACTGAAGCAGTTCAAATACAGTTGTCATTCTTTGTTGGAATTTTGGAAACATGTGCCTGTTATTAAATATCCAAAAATTACTCTTTGTGCTCAAAAGTTAATATCGATTTTTGGAACAACATATTCTTGTGAGTCTTTATACTCAACCATGAAAATGATTAAATCTAAACATCGATCAACATTAACGGATGATCATTTAACTGAATTGTTAAGGACTGCGTTAACAACATATAGTCCTGATTTTAAAAAAGCATACAAGCAAAATAAACACGCAACAAATAAGAAAATAGTCAATTAAGAAAAATGATATCAAGAATACTTTATTTTTACAAATTTTTTTCTATACACTGTAATTTAATAATTAAATTTAATTTAATAAAATATTATACTTTTTCAAATACATAAATTCATATTAAAAAAATTTTTTTTTAAATGTTACGATAAGATGCGAGCCGCGGTTTGGCCACCCCTGTTATATAATCTATAAACTAGGTATTTATATTGAAAATAATGGGAAATTAAAATACACTATATACTATTTACTATTGAACCATTGAGTTTGTAGAAATTTCAATGGGGGTCCGGACCCGAAAAAACCCTTGGGTACGCCCCTGTAATGAACTGTAAATTATTTTTAAGTTTGTATTGAAGAAAAATTAGTTTCGCCCCCACCCCTATGGCCTCAACTCAAATACGCCCTTGATGAAGATTTCATCGAGAAATTATCAAGAACAAAATCGCCTTTCACCATTACCAAAGTGATCAATAGAAAAAGTTAGTGATAGTAAAAGAAGAAATCTACGTTTTATGATGAAGTAATCGAAAATTTCCTTACCAAAAATAGGAGAAATAATTTCATTTATAAGTAAAATAAAAAATATTTAGTACCTATTTAATATTTATTATTTTGTTCAAATATTTTGATGAATTAATGTTGTAATTATTAAAATAAATATAGGTAAATAAAATAATTATAATAAGGTCATTTATTTTTTGTTTATATATGTAACATAATATGTTATTAATATTTATATTTAAAATTGCGTAAAACTTGTGAATGTTTGAAATTACACCTTTGTAAACTGAATAGGGGGTGAAATTCCTCCAAATTCATTACCTAACTTACCATTTACAACACATATCTAAAGTTAAAACCTACGCTATGCCACTGTCTTATACCATTGATTATAAATACTATAGTAATCAGGACCGCATTTAGGGGGGGGGGCATTGACTACAACTACCCCGGGCACCAAAATATTGTGGTCAGAAATTTACTCACTTGTGAATTATTGAACTTTTAAAATTATTTTGAAATTATTTTTTTTGTTTATAATAACAGTATCACAAATTAATGTTAATGTAATTAATTGATTAATATATATTATTAATGTATTTATAGCAATACAACTATCGGTGATCCAGAATATTTTAATATACCTAATATTAGTTCCCAAATTTGTTGTGATAATTTCAATAAACATAAGTTATTTATAATAATACTGCGTATTATGTTATCGCGTGCGGCGTGCGGTGTGTGGTGGCATGCTTACTACTCAAAAATAGCATTGGTTTTAGAATATCTAAAAGGTTCATGAGGATCTATCTCCTATATTTTCCGTGGGCAAGCCCCTTAGAGAGGCGCCTATTTTTTTTTTTTTGCGCTAGGGCGCAAAATGTCTAAATACATACTGATACGGCAATACGGCACTGATAGTAATGCTATATATTAATACTATAATAATGTTAGTATAAGTATAAACTTATACCAACTTACTCAGTATCTATTATTTTTTTAGAATTAATGACAAGTCATATGTTAGACATAGTAAAAGAAGCAAGATCAAAAACATTAGGCCCATTTAGTCCTTCTATGAATATTTCAGAACAATTATATGCTCGTTTAAATAAGGTAAAACATTACATTTTATTAAATTCAGGAAAGAATTGGTTAATTTTTTTTTTTTTGTGAAGGATTTACCTGACGATGTACACAATCGAGTAAGTGGTAAATTATTTGTGTCATTAACAAGAGTTCCAGGTGGTAAAAATGTCATTAAGTCTGAATTTTCTAGTAAAGAAGAAGTTTTACAGGTAGTCATAAAATGTAATTATTGATACATAGATCTGTAATTAAAATACAATTAAATAGGTTTAATTATAAAACATATTTATAAGCAGTTGCGTATCCAGAATTTTTTTTTGGGAGTGGTTATAAAAAATGAAGCATTCAATTTTTTTTTTGATTTTTGTGTGTTTTTATTATAATCAATAGACAATATACATACATTAAACATTTTCGGGAAGAGGAGGAGTTATAACCCTCTAACCCTCCCTGGATATGTCACTGTTTATAATTGTATGCTACTCATAGGCGTGTTCAGACTTCCATGGCTGGGGAAGCCAGTTATAAAATTTAAATTTTTTACTTACACAGCGATCTATTATCTATATCTATATTTGTGACTTATTTTTGTTGTATTAAAATTGGTTTCCTATGCTATTACAACTATGAACTAATAAATAAGGCCTATTAACTAATGTGTTACTTATTTATTTTTTATAAATATTTTATCAACTATACATCAACCTTCTATACACATCTTATTACAGTTATTACACAATAAACAGTTATTTATCAGTTTGGTTAAGCAAGTATTTTATTAAAATATTACAAATAATAAAATTCAATAAATTTAAAATTTAAATTCACCTTCTACCTAAAATTACCTACCTACTATTACTGTTTCAGCCACGGATATAGATACTATATATTCGTGGTTTCACCATTATAAGCCAAGAGGCCAAGAACGTCGCTGGGGAGGCCGGTGCCCATCCTGCCTCCCCTGTAAACACGCCTATGATGCTATTAAAGTATTAAAACTAAATAATATATAGGTGAATAAATATGTTTTTATACCTGTTTGATTAAAAGTAGAGCTGGGATTTTAATGCTCTAAAAATAATATAAAATGCTCTAAAAAAATCACCAAAATTCTTTAAAAATAATAAAAAAAATTTATAAAAATGTGTTAAAAAAAAAAAAAAAATTTTTTATAGTTTAAAATGATATTGTAAAAATTATGTTATCAAACACAATAATAACAAAATAGGCACTTTTTGTTTAATATTTATATTTTATTTAACTTTATTTAAATTTAATTTATTTCATAACTTGCTGTTATGATCGTTGTTGGACTCTTGTAAATAAAAAAAATATGTTGACTGTATTAATTTAGTACTATTTTTGATAAATTAGGAACATGGGTCGATGTACTCGTATTTATTAATATATCAATTTATTAGATTACATACTACATAAGCTACATTCAGACGGTGACTGTTCGAATCGATTTTTTCACGTATAGAATTTTATCTAATACGAGACAGCAATTCACACAGGCACAATATTCGATTCGATTTTTTCACTTACGGGTTTTGATGCATGGACATAGCACTGTTGGCAGTCAACACACAATTGTTATCATAGATTCACGTGTTCCACTCATTTTTTATTGGTGTAGAAATGTTTATAAGAAACGTTTGGTACATCGAAGATTCTGGGTACATTCTCTTTTAGAGAATGGTCCATGACGTGAAAAACGTTTTGAAAAATTTTATTTAAACCTGACTGAGAACAGAAATTTTATAATTATTTTCGTATGTTGATGGCTAATTTTGACAATCTATTATCAAGACTAGAAAAGGATTCTACTATGTTGAAATACTATCGTCTTCCATTTTAAAGAACTTAATAATAATAATAATAATATGCGTCGAACATACGACTGAACGGATGAACGTAATGAACGAATTCGATGACATTTTGTTCGTGTGAACGACACAATATAAAGACAAGCACTACTTAATCACGTATACGATAAAAATACATTCGAGATTTATCGAATCGTAGTGACAAGTTCGTACGGTATACGGAAAAAAATATTTCGCGAATACGGAATTTTCCCGCGTAGGCTTCGTGTGAACGTACAAATATATCATTCGCTGTCACTGCACTTTTCGATAAAACCCCGTATACGGTATACGAGAAAAATATCGTCGTCTGAACGTAGCCTAAAAGTGCAAGTTTTGAGCGAATACATGCCGAAACGTATTATCAAATAACCTCATATTTAAAAATTTATCGATAAATTCTGAAATAGCTATAAAAACTTGAATAATGCCCTAAAAATGCATACAAAGTTAAATTCGCCATATAATGAAAAAAAAAAACTAAATTAAACAATCAGTATCACTTGAAACATGTTTTCTTCTTACAGACCTGGGTTGAGAAATAAAAAAAATATTTGCATCTAAATCCCAGGTCTTATTTAATAGTATAGGACACACTGTTTTCATGATTCATAAACATTAGTTGAAACAAAATTATATTAAGTTTGTGTACTAATCAAACCAATTTTTTATTATAGACATTATTAGCAAGTGCTTTTATTCCAGTATTTTCTGGATTTATACCACCTTTAATTGGTAAATACAGATATATGGATGGTGGATTTACAGACAATCTTCCTATACTTGATAAGAATACTATTACAATCTCACCATTTAGTGGTCTCACTGATATTTGTCCTCGTGACAATCCTATTCAGAAGTATTTAGTTAGTATTATATTTCTATTATTACTTATTATAATTATGATTACCTAGTATAGTCAGTTATAATTTATAAGTCTGTCATTCCCAAGTGTTTTCATTAAAAAATTAATTTTGCTAATATATTAAATTATAACTGTTTTAGGTGAATATATCTAATAATAGTTTTGAAGTGACTAAATCAAATTGTTTCAGAGTGGCTAGAATAATGTTTCCACCAGAACCAGAAGTATGTATAAATCTACTATAGATATAATAAAAATATTTTAATCATTAATATAATTATATTTTTATACTCTCTCAACCTAATGTGCCAAACTGTTCTTAAGGTGCTTGCTAAATTGTGTAATCAAGGCTTTGATGATGCTCTTAATTTTTTACAAAAAAATAACTTAATTAATTGCAAAACATGTATAACAAAACGTTTGTTCACTTTAACCAAGAATAACACTGGTGATATGGCTGGTTATGATCCATCATGTACTGATTGCAAGTGGAATAATGCAGTAAATTTTAAAATAACTAATAATAAAATACATTTTATTATTTTTAATCAATTTATTTTCAGTTTGCTAAAGTACAAGGAATTCCATACTCCATCACATATGTTCTAGATAAATACATAGAATCACATAGTGGTATATTTAATGGAATTTTAAAATCTAAAGGAATGCAATTAGTTAAATTATTTAAATTGTCATGCATGGTTGTATCAGATATAGCTTACGCATTTGTTATGAGGTAAATATTTCTATAAGCAATTTCTATAATGTTGTAAAATTAGTATTTAAACATTTTTCAGGGTTATTCGTTCTTATACACAGTTTCAAAAGTCTATATGGACTCTATCCAAATATGCAATAAATTGTTTACTACATTTTATTGATATATTCAGTGAAAAAGGTTTAGAATTAGTTAGCAAAGTATTATTTCACAGTTATATGTCATTTGAAAATCATGGAAAAAGTATTTTTTTTTTTTTTTTTTTAATTTTATGAATATAATATATTATTAGTATTAATTTTGCTAATATTTTATTTAGATTCAATTTATTATTATTATTATAACGAGTTCCTTGAAAATGTAAAATCTATTAAGTATTCAAAAAATAGTCTTGAATATTATAATGATAACCAACAAGCTACTTCAGCCATAGTCATGTGTGTACTTTGAGTTTTTTACAAAGAAATGTAAATACAAAATTTACAGTTATGAATCATACTGTGTAATTATAATTTTTAGAGATTCTCCAGGATTTACATTGAATGAACTCAATTTACATAGTCATCAAGTTAAATCTTTTAGATCTAAAAAACATTCAATTGTACACTGGACACTATCTTTAACTCCAGAATTTGTCTTAAAAACTTCAAAGTTAGTAACATAAAATATAAATTTTCATTTATTATTTAAACTGAAATTTAAATGTTCTTTAAAAAATAAATTTATATTAGGTATAATATACATATATATTTATTGTAATTTACTAAATCTGCTAGGAATAATAAAAAAACTGCAAAAACAGGTATTTTTTTGTCATATTTAGATTTGCATTTGTGAAAAATACACACATATTAAGTTCTATTTACTTATCAGCTATACTAATAAATAATTAGGGATTATAACATTTTAAATTATTATTAACTAGTGCTAATTTAAGTATAGACTTTGATAATTATTTTGTATTTTGTAGCAAGAGTATTGTTGACGAAACTGTAACCAGTACTAAAATTGATATTGTTGAAAATCTTGATGATCTTAAAAACAACTTATGGTTTGACTTAATAGATGATTCATTGGATAAGTTCATAGAAGGAGTAACTAATCATGAAACTTTATTGCTGTATCATTATACAGAGTATTTAAATAATGCAAGTATGTGTTTAATTTATTTTGTTGATGATTATTCAGTTATAATTTATAATCAATTATCATTATAAATCTCATTAAATGAATACAATTTTCTAGATCCATCGTACAAAACATTAGAGCAATATAAACTGGAGGATAATATTATAAAAAATTTAACTAGTATTTTTTAATTTGTAATAATAATAAATATCATCAATATTATTTTATTCATAGATATTGATAGAAAATGTACAATGAAAATAAGGCCCAAAAGTTCATTTTTCATTAAAATTATAATTAAATTTAATAATTCTGAAAACTTTGTTTTCAAACTATACTTTTTTTTTAAAATATATAGTGTGGCTTAAACTAATAAAATACAAATTTTTATAAATTTTGTTAAGGTAAATTAATAGTAGGTTAATATAAATAATAAGCAATTTTTTTTTCTGTTTTAAGAGTTGAAAAAAAAAAAAGAATTATATATAAAAATTGTTGTAATATTTTATTATGTTAAATGTGTAAGATAGTACTCATAAAATATTCAAAAAACAAATTATATATAGTTAAAACTATTTTTTTCTAAATTTTTTTTTAATTTTTTTCCTTTTTGGTTCATTTTCTTCTTCAGGTTCAAACTTAGATGGGTCGGCTAATCTTTTTTCTCCACTAAAAAATAATGATGGTTATAAAAAAAAAGAACTATTTTAGTATAGTAAAATTTTTACCTTTTTACACTAATAAGACTTTTAGTTTTACCAGAATTTCCAAGAGCTTTTCCCCACTCATCTTCTGTTCCTTTAATTGCATACCTAGTAAGATTTTCTTGTTTTAGTTTTTCTAGCTCTGCACGTTGTTTCTTTTTCAAAGCCTATAATATAATATTATTAATACAAATATGTAAATTACAGTTTTTTTTTTTTATATAAATTCTATACTTTAGCTGCTTGATCCAATTCTTCATCTAAAGGTTTAGCTAGTGGTCTTAACTCATTACTATTTGTTTGTTGCAAGACAGGCATTTGATTATGAACATTTTGTTCCATTATTCCATTTATTACTTGTAGAATACGACGCATCATTCTATTATACAAGCCAAGTAACTGTGAAGGTATCAAATTAAATTCTTCAGCAAGATCATCTACAGTTTTGTATTGTAAACCCAAACCTAACAATAAAGCCTAATGGAATATATAATATTATAATTTATAATTTATATAAATTATGTATAACACAAATTACTTTTTGAACTGCAGAAAAATGTGTATCTCCAAGCTTGTTTTGGAAATAAATTTTTGATAAAGTTGGTAAAAGATCCATTATTAGATGATAATCAGCCATATTATTACAATATTTTTCTAACCGAAGAATATCATAAGCACTTAAATGAACATCCAACTCAGTTTTATTTAATATATCTAATAGATGATTAATTTAGGATCTTTAATCATGTGTATTATTTATGTTTTATTGTTCAAAAATAATTACCTTTATTTATTTGTATAGTTATATTAGTATTATGTAAGACTCCTAAAGCCAATTGAGGGGAAAATTTACGAAACTGGTAACCAAGAAGTGAGATAAAACGTTTTCGGAAATCTATCCAAAATTGAGACAACCAATTTTGATTTTTAGAGTTTGATGTATTTAAAGTTGAAATCATTATACAAGAATGTTCTCCAGTTAATTCATTATTAGTTTGCCTATAATAAACATTCAAATAATTGATATAAAATATTTTCAATTCAAATTTAACTTAATTCATTTTACCTAATATATAATGGAATAAATCCAGATTTCTTCCAGAATTTTAAAAGTGGACCCGTGAGACCAAATGACACACCAATATAGTCTAAACGTTCAGGAGGTCGTTCACTTAGTTTCAGTAATAATGGAGGTAAATTATTACGCGGCTCTAAAAATATAATAATATAAATATTAAGTGTTCTAATTCTTTTAGTAAAAGTATTTGTATTAATACCAATTTTTTCTTCTAATAAATCTACTTCTTCTTCCTGAATAGAATCAATATTTTCTTTAGGGAATTTTCTTTCATCAATATTTGGTATTAAAAACTCATAATACATTTTCAATAATGATAATGCTCTAGAACCATACCCCATCTAAACATGTTCCATAATTTAAAAAAGTAAAATACATCAATACATCCAATTTAAAATTTATAATTTACACTTTGATAGTCTGGATGTGTAGCAATTCGAACAATACGAGCTCCAGCTAAAGATGGAAATTGTTCATCTTGAAAACATCCAGATATCGTCCATGGTATAAGATCCCCAGCAGCTCTTTTACCACGTTTTAATGCTTCTGATGCCGATGTTTGAGATACTTCACCCTCTAGACACAACTAAAAAAAAAAAGATGTTCTAAAATTGACGAACTGAGATATAAAAATATAAAAATTAATATGATTTTTAAAATAACATTACCTGAATGACACATAAAACCTCTGGTAAACTTTTCATATTTACATCAACAGGGCCAAGAAGACAAAATAAATGATGTGCAGGAGCATCAGACATCATTTGAAGATCATTTGGACTATTCTAATGATTTAAACAGAAATAATGTTAAGACTTATAATATTTTATAGAAATAAAATATTACTTATTTAAAATATTTACTTTATAATGTGAAGCTACATACAATGAAACGATTCGCTGCAAGAAAGCTTCAGAAGCTTTATGGTAACAAAATAATGTGTCTCTATTGATATAATATAAGTCACATATATCAGGAGGAGGACATCCAGAAAGCAATGGAGCAATATTTGTTGCATCAAGACACAAAAGATTTGTCAACCATTTTTCTACATCATCATCATTTTTATAACGTATAGATTCTTCCAAAGTCACCTGAAATAAAGATAGTTTAATTGTATTATTAAAAAATATTTATAGGATAAGATGGATACATTTAATAGGATTTAATACATTTATAAAATTCTACAATATTCGAAAAATTAAAAAAAATGATTAACAACCAATTAACATATTTTAAGACATTATTATTGAAGTCAAATTTAATCATGTTGTTAGTTATTATTTTATTTGTAACAATTGTTAGTATTATAGGTGGACTTTCTATTCCATATATCTATATGCAACCAATACTTAGGCAACAATAGATGAAAAAAGCTAGAAGTGTTTGAGAGAAAGATATTGAGAAAGGCCCGAAAAGAAACAATGGTGAATATAAAATACGAATCAATAATAACTTAGAAGAACTATATAATGAACCTAACATTGTTGGAAACTTGAAAAGCATGCGAATAGGTTGGGCCAGATATGTATGGATATCAAAAGGACCAATTAGACAAATAACTACATAGAAACTTAACACAAAGAGATCCAGAGACCAACCCAGACAAAGATGGGCAGACAGAATAAAATATCTAAAGATACTGTGAGTAAGGAACGCAGAAGAGATGGCAAAAGACATAGATTGAATGGAAACAGCATGTGTTGTGACAATAGGTCTCAAAGGTCAATAAAAAGCCAAAGAAGTATAAAAGAAGTTGAGAAAAAATAATATTTAATATTGTGTTATTTAAAAATAAAACATTAATAATTAATTTTATATATGCTATATCATTATATTATGATAAATATATATACTTAAATTACATAAAAATATACTTATTTTTATTTTCATATTAATGTTGTATCAAAAAAAAAAAAGGAAAAAAGTCATTCAATTTTATGTTCCATTTAGGGATTTAAAAATCTGACAACCCTAATTATAGGCAATATTATTATCATGTAAAATATGTATTAGATCCTGAGAACTAATATAAGTATAATGCCTATATTGTAGAAATCTATACATAAGGATATCTTAACATTCAAATGTATACAAAAATGTATCAAATGAAAACTAACTTCTTTCAAAAAACGTCCTGTTATAGCATTTTGACCAGCTTTATCATTTATATTGCTACCAATAGTTGTAGCTTGAGAACGAAGTTGTTGCAATAATTTTAATGACAATGATCGACCAGTGCCTTCATAACTAAATAAAAATTTTAATATTAAAATTAACTTCCTTAAAAGAATAAATTAAATAATTTTATATTATTAAATAACTTATCAAACTATAATGTATAGTAATATATAGTTGTAAACTTTAATATATTAATTAAAAATAATAAATTATACTTCTAGTAGAGTAGTAACTAAGTTTTTTTTGTAATTTACCCATTAATTGTAGATGCTAAAAATACTAAATAAGGACCAAGCATAGCCTTAACAAGTGGAAGTGGAATAGCAGCGGCTTCATCAATGACAACTAATTCTGCTTGGCTTAATTTATTTGAATCTGTTGGAACTATATACTACAGAAACAATTATTTATTAAGAAATAACATTGTTAACATTAGGAAATGTACTTACTTGTATAGTTTGTCGATGATCTCTAAAAATATTTACTCGAACCAAAGCTTTATTATCATCAGGCTTTGTTGACCTAACTAATCCATAATCTAAATGTTCTTGATATCCAAGAGCATCAAAACCTAAATAAAAAAAAATAATTTTTCAAACAATATTAAGATTACAACAAGAATTAAAAATAAATTTGTATTACCTTTAAAAACAAATTCAAAAAATGTTTTTAAATTTTCAGGTGAAGGTGATGTAACAAAAATATTTGAATAACCAAATGCAACAGCAGCTGCAACAGCTATTCCAAGGGCAGCAGATTTTCCTCTACCACGAGAAGCAGTTAAAGACACCGTAGATCTGAGAGTTTTTTCAGATATTGCTTCAATAAATGTCAGTAATGCTTTAGCCTAAAAATTAAGATTATATTTATCAGTAGTCAGTAGTCTGTAGTTTTTAGTCAGTGGATTGTTAACTGATAACAAAATCATGGGTGTAAATATATTAAATAATGATTCCTGATCAGTGTTGGGAAGGAACAAAGCTAGGAATCAGGGGCGGATAGGCATAATCTGACCGGCCCGGGAAAAATAGAATACAGCGGTCCCCATGATTACATCCAAGTTCAAACTAATTAAACAATTACCTCAACTTTGAGAGAACCAACCCTGCAGTCACCACCTTTTTTTTCGACGTTCTTAAATAATATTTAAAATTATAATATATATTATACTATCCAATTTTACATATGTTTTGCTCCTTCTAACAATTCTACTATTTTCTGCATCTCCTTTTATTTTTAATTCGTTTTGAAGCATACCTGGTTATACAACATTTTAGCATATTATACTATTTACATGGTTCGCGTATAATTATTGTGGAAAAACATGATATATCAATAATCAACTTTGCCGTAGGGTTTTATTAGTGACTACATATGATAATTTAAATCTGAACAATCAGTAATCATTATAGCACGGAATTATATGCATTAAAAACCAATCAAATATGCACTAAAAGATCTTTAACATGCACAAGTATATGCACTAATGTGTTAAAATATGAATCAAAGAAAAAAATATTTGCACTCGAATTTTTGAATAAATTTAATTTTTAATTTTTAATCATTCAATTAAAATAATACATAAAAAAAATACATTTAAAATTATGTAACCCTACTGTAAATCATTTTTTTTCTTCTTCATTTTAAAGGAATTTACTATGATATTATTTACTTTAATTTGTATATATGTACATGTATAATAGTATTAGTAGTAATATTTTTCATTGGACCATTTTAGTCAATATAAGCAGCAGCCCACCGGGAAAATCCTGGTGTCCTGGAGGCTCTATCCGCCCCTGTTTGGAATGCGTTCTTTTTAAAATGTTGGAACAAGGAATGTGAGAGAGTTCCAATTTTTGAGGAACTTGAACAAAAGTTTGTTCCTCAAATTATGAAATTTTTTTTTTTTTTTGATATTTTTTAAAATATAATATTATTTAATGTTGGTAATATAGTATATTTTTTCATCTATATTGTAAATAAAAATATTAATTTTGACTTGAATAAATTGATTAATTGTTTTATTTTCAAATTATGTTTTTATCATTTTTCAATTTCTATTTTTTAGGATAGGAAATATATTAAATTAAAAAAAAATAGATTGTTTTATCATATCCATAAACCCATTACTATAACTTTAAACTTATATATATATATATATATATGTTATATATTATATAATAAATTATATTACACACACACACACACACATATACATATAAAGATTATTATGATAATTTAACGATAAACTATTGGCCATAACTTATTTTACCTATTTAACTTAAACAGTTAAAAAGTTGTCCACAAAAAAAACACCATCGACAATCACTCAAATAGTATAAAGAAAAAATTTCAGGAACAGGAACAAGTTCCTTTTTAACCCTTCGTTAGGCACGTGGTTTACACTTGTAGACCATTTTAATTTATGAGAAATTAAATTAATTTTAATTATTTTGTTTATATTTATACTTATATTTTTGTTTATTAAAAATGTTAAGTATTTATATGCATATAAAGAATCGTATGAGCATTGAAATATCAAAAATAATCCATAAATATTCAAAGAAAATACTATTATCTTGTTAGTAGTGAAATTATGATCATTTCATTCATGATACTTTTATTTTTAAAACTAGTAACTCAATTACCTTCAAATCGGCCTGAAACTATAAATATCTGAAATTGACATATTTACAAAAGACCCGAAACAAAATTAAAATGTATTTTTATATTTTTTTTACCAGTTATCGTCTAATAAATATAGATATTATAACTATAATTTCTTTATAGGAAATGATAGTGTACATGAATTTTGGTACTTATTTTTCTTAGTAATCATTTCCTCTTGTAAAATTAATTCCATAATATTGATATGAAGTATAATTAACGGATTTTATAATTTATATGAAACAGTATGTCATGACCCAATAGGTATATTAATAATAATAATATATTATACAACAGTGTCCAATTAAAAAAAAAAAATTGAATTTTGCAAATTTAGGAAAAAATATAACATAGTAAGTAAGACCACTCGGAATATTGTTGATATATTTCGTTACACAATGTTAACAATAATACTGATTACACAGTAGTATAGATAAACAACAGCTAGTATAAAGTACAAGGCTTTACAATTTTTTTATAAATACTAAAATTGTTAATATTTATAGCTGGTCTACAATTGTAGACCACTGGCCTAACAAAGGGTTAAAAGGAATTTTCCCAACACTGTTCCTGATGAGCCTGAAACACCTTTAAATATGATTATAGCGAACTAAGCAATGTCATCATAACAAACTGTTAAGCAATTTGTTGAATCTTTCGAAGGTGTGGACACTTCTATATTCAAAGCCATAGGCAAATAAGATTTTGTGTTAAAATTTATGTACTTACATATATTTACCATAAAATTTTAAAATTATATTTTATTACATAGCTAGTAGTTTTGATTTAATATTGATAAATTCAAATTAGGTATCTAGAAGCAGATCTCTAAGTAAATTTTTATTCCCCTTCAACTTCCAGTTATCACGACTCAGCTGCATTATTATTATAATAAAATTATAAATTAATTACTTGATCAACAGTTTTACAACAGTTAACTAAACATCCAACTGGCTGAGTGTCTTTCATATTTTCTTTTAAAGCAGCTAATTCTTGATCATTTATTGATTGATTATTTGTTTTTTCTTCTGGTACTAAATCAAGTACTTTGGATGAAATCGGTAATACTGTCAATTGGTCATCGACTACTAAACATCGCTTACAGGATACTAAAGACAGCATAAACCTAGTTTAGAGAATAAAATAGTAAACGTGCAAATATGAAGAGAAAAATATTATTTCACCTTTCATTAAACCTTGCAATAACATCTTGATGAGCTTCTGTTCTAAACCGTTCGTGAACATCCATTGTAAGAGTATACAGCTGTTTTAAGGACTGCAATGACCGTAGTAAAAATATCACAAGCCCACCACCTTCTACAGTTTCTATAGTACGTGCTAATAAGTTTGGAGTCATTGCTTCAAAATCCTTTATGCAATAAATATAAATTAAAACAATAATAATTAATTAATAATCAAATCAACAAATAATCGAGATACTTACTTGTAATACACACATTCCATATGTATTACCAAGAATTTTATGGGTTTCAGAATAATAACAATATCTAATATTTGTGGAAGCAACAAATAATTCAAATGGATCATCTTCATTTACATTAAGTTTGCCAGCTTTAACTTTATGTTGTATGGTTTTCATGCGTTTCTTACGATGACTTGAATAATAAAAAAAATTAAATTTCATATTTAACCTGACTCATATCACATATTCTCTTTAAATAAATAATATATATACCTGCTAAACCCTAATTCTTTTTTATAGCACCATAATACATTTGGTCTGGCTTTAACAGTTGCTTTTGACAACATATGATGCAATATAACAACCTAGAAAATTTACAAAAGAATAAGACAACTGTAACTTATTTTATGTAAGTGTAATATGTATAATGAATATAATTACCTGATCTCTTCCCTTGTCGCCAACAATTGCGAACATAGTACGATGGCCAGCTATAACACCATTTTCAATAAGTGTTCTGATGCGATTATCAATTTTTTTACGAACCATTATGATTGAGAATTATACAAACTAAAAATGTTCCAATAACAAAAGATTATTAAATTCTAAGACATAGTCAAAAGAACAAAAAAAAAAAAAATTGTTATAGGACTAAATATTTGTATTTCAAAAATTAAAATTCAAATAGGGACGCACGTTTCTTGTTATTATTAATGTGAGGTTATATTCCACACGAAATACGGTTTTTTACGATGGATATTGATAATGATAAGGATAAATGATAAAGGACCATTTAAATCATAGAGTAATATTGTAGGGCGTCATTTTAACTTTTGAAAGGGTGTGGCAAATGATTAAATTTGCCAACTTCATAATAGGTATTTAAAAATTATGGTTACCTATATATTTAAATATTTAATATTTATGGACGATTTACTATCAATAGAATATTTTTTCGGGACAAAACAAATAAGAATTGGTAATGATTAGGGCTCGGAAGTTATTGCATTTGCATGTTTTTTTTTTTTGCACCATTGGATTTATTGCCAAGTGAGGAAGAAATTAATTCCAAAACACTACGAAAAACATATCAAAAGTTTATAGTGCATATTTTTGCATATTTAGTGATTTTTAGATTTTAGAGCATATTTTATAATTTTAGAAGATTTAGTATGAAAATTCGATAAATAATAAAATAAAATACATTCATATTGAAAGAACTTTCTTGATATTTTTGTATAGTATTTTTCAAATTTCCATTTGACATTAAAAACAATGTTTTCCACTACCGGTAAAATAATATATATTTATAAATTATAACTACAGCTAGCTTTATTTAAAATTAAATATTATACAACTATCAATTTAGAACCGTTGCTATCAAAATACGATGATTTTCTATAAATACTTTTCTAGGAAAATAACTCAATGTTATTGAACATTCTTCCAGAGGATTTTTTTTATTCAAGAAACAATTTTAATGTTAATTTATTATTATTTTATTAATCAGAATTATTTTTAATACTTTGCTTTATCTATAATTACAATTTTATAAAATATTTGTGCAATTGAAAATTTTGTGTACAAAAATAAAATATACATAAGTGCATATTTTTAGAGCATATTTGTACTTATTTAAGCGCATAAGTGCATGCATATTTAATACTTTTTAAGTGCATAAAGTTCTGAGCCCTAGTAATGAATAATGATGATGATAAACAGAGAACATGAAACGTTTCAATTTACCCAATTAAATAATAAGATTAAAGATAGTAAAACATTAATTTATTTACCCATCCTATAGGCTATAAGTTAACTATCAATAGGTTTAATGGAATAATAATCTAATGAAATAAATATTTAATTAAATATAACATTTTTTATTATTTGTAAATTTAATATTTTATAAAACTTATTTATAAAAACATAAAATTGTATCTCAAAATAATGTACCGTAGTTTGGGGTGAATAGGAATGATTTTAATGGTTTTTTATAGAGTATGAGCTCAATTTCTATGATATCGATATCATGAAAATTGTTTATCTATAGATTACATATATAGAAATATATAATATACCAAAAATAAAGTTTTTAAGGTTCGCGTAATAACGATTGTCATAAACCGGGGAGTAACCAGTGTTTCTCAAATTTTTATAAACCGTGAACGTGTATTTAAAAGAGAATATCTGATTTTTAACTACAAAATAGTAAATAAAAATATACTATTTACCGATTTTAGCATTTGATCATCGGACAAAGAATTGCCGACTTTTTAAAATTTCTTAGAGTGGGGCATTTGCCATAGTCTGCCCCTCCCCCAAATTACGCCCCTGGTAATATTACTCTATAGTTTAAATTATTAATGGGCATAATCGAAATATTAGTATTGGAGATATTTTTATAATCTCGAGATGTCTCGAAATAATCATTCGAAATGTTCAATTGAAATATAATATAATTTTATTTATAAACGTTCTGAGAAATTTTTAAATTTTTGTTGTTTTGTGGTTGAGTAATTCAATTATAGCTATATATTTATGTCAAACTTTAAAATATAAATAACTAAGAATACCCGTATACCCATCAATATTTGTCTAACAATCAGTCTCACGAGTAGCACGAGTCGTAAATACAAAGACTCAAAGTGAACAACTAGTATTTACTTATTCGATTATGATGAAAAATAATATTTCTCTCTTATTCCTTCGTTTCGTGAAAATTATTCAAAATATTTTTTCATTCGCTACACATTTTGAGATTAAGAATTGATAGTTTTTAAAATAAACGAGATATCACTCGAAATAATCTCCCGGGTATATAATCGTATTATTATTTTTATAAACGAGATATCTCGATTACGCTCATCACTAGTTTAAATTAACATGAATTATATTATCTTAGTCCAAGATTATGTTGGTATTTAGATTTGTACCCTATGGATTAATAAATAATCAATACTTAAATGCGTCAACATAACGTGAATGTTACTCATTCATTTAGGTCGAGTTGCATAAAGGTTCATTTGTGATTTCTAGAGCCGTTAAAGTGCTTACGATCCGTTAAAAAAAATTGGGTTTTGCTTAAACGTAAGTTAGCGTTAAAGGGTCTGTAATTTATCGGCTATTGGACCTGTAAACTACAGGCATTGATTAAAGATACATATGTATATTTAATCAATGCTACAGGTATGATTTTCGTTCGTTGACTTTTACAGATCCGTTAATACGGTGGTGATAAGAAATATAATTTAAATACATCGAGATAAATAAATAATACTGTATTGATTTGATTTTTTTTTTGACAATGCAGTCACTGCAGATGTATTGCACATTTGAAAGGATTTGATAAAAATGTAGAAGTTTGGGTGTCTAATTCTTACAATATTTTTAAATTTATTATTAAACGTTGTTGGTTCGATCATAACCTTCTTTTGTGACATTACATACACGTTCCATATATACGGAGAAAATATTGGCGGACGTCGTACTAACCTAATTGTACCGTACTTTGTAGGAATAGATTTGATGTTTCATTAAAGGATTTAGATTAAAGTACACCAAAATGTCCTCTAATTCTTCAAAAGTCTTTAATGAATTGAATAATATTAACACCGTTATTAAAATTTTTAAATATTGAAATACGTGTATACATAACAAAAATATTATTTAAACAAAAATATAAATTACCTCTTTTAACAGTATTGGTTGAGAGAAATGCTAATGCAGGGATTATTTTTAAGGCTGATTTGAAGTTTTTCTCTTTTTATATTTTATAGCCAAATCCAAGTCCTGAACTTTTCGCAGGATAGACTGGTTTAAATGATAATAGCATAACTGCACCGATAAATCATCATGAAATACTTCCTTGATAGTCTGTATTACAGATTTTTCGAAATCAATTGAAATTATTGAAAGCAATACAAATTGATCCCGTATAGCAGACAACTCAATATAAGCGTGTTTATTTTTACGTTGAAGCAAAGCATACATCGCAGGAATTATTATATTATTTATGTTTGCATTTTCATGTAATAAGTATACTAGGTAGAATACAGGACAAATTGAAAATGTTCCATCCATATAAATAATTTTAGTTTCAGATTATAATACGATTATTATTATTTTTGCTGTTGTAAAATAAAAATGGTTCTGGATTGAGCTCTCCACCGGTTGTACTCCACTGTGTTTCTTCCAATATAATATCGTCTATTTTTATAATTTTAAAATAAATATTGTTACGGACACGCCATAAAATCCTTTTCATCGAAACTTCTTTCGGAATTAACTGTTTGCTTTCGTTGGATATTGAGATTACAAATATTCGAGACTGTATATCGTAATTTTAGTTTGCTGTGTTCTTTATAATTAGAGATGTTGAATTTACCTGTAAAAAATTGTTGGTAAATTTACGTAAAATTCAGTAAATTGGTAAATTTTGAAAAAAAAAAAATGTTTTTAATTTTTATTCAATTTTTAAATACAGCTTACGTACATACCTTCTTCGACATTTTTTACGAAGTTTTAAAATGTAGGATGAATGTTTTTCTTCCTTTTTACCTACCAACCTATCTAACATGTGTAAGTGTAACACACTATAACATAGTCATACAGAACAACAAGTAACAACAGAATGAGAATGTAAAATGTTATCAGTGTTTACTTTTAAATTGATGTAAATATAGATTATAATATACAGTAGTGAATTGGAGGGTATACGGGGGTACACGGCGTATACCCAATACGCTATTTTTATCCATGTCGTATAACTTATGAGAAATTGATGATACGCGGGTATACGGCCGTATATAGCGTATAGCTTGTAATTTAACAAATAACTACATAATTCCTTAGCTAACCTAACTTACGGTTATATTTATGACGTGATTCGGTATCGGATATATTATTATTATTATTATTATTTTTTTTTTTAATGAAAAATTCAAATTTGTTATCCTTTAACAACAAGTTTCTGTTATCAAACAGTCATAATTAAAGATGTATAGTTCATGAGTGAGTTTTTTTGATTCCTACGATATGATAGTTACTACATGAAAGAAGGCGTATACCCATGATTTATTTTAGCAATATATCACTGATAATAAACTAAAATACTGAATAGAGTATTAACGCTGCATTTTATTGTCATATAGGCTACGCTGATTATCTTGGTCCTAGTTATAGAAACGGAGGGGAAAAAAAAGGGCTACGATGATTATCTAAATAAAACTATGGTTGTAGATATATCTATATATGAGTACATTCTCTACAATAGTAAATAAAACGTATCCCGCTAGTAAACACATTTACTCAATTTTTTTTAATGGAAAAAAAAAACTGGGTAAAAAAATACTTGGTAAAATTTACGTAAATTTACTTTTACCCGTAAATTTTACAGGGTAAATTTACTTAGCTCACATCTCTATTCATAATACATTTAGCTCTTTCTGCATTCATTAAGTCAATATTACCTTTATGATTGTGATCTTCAAACAAAATTAATTCCATCGTCAGTTGTAAGTGATCCATTACACAACCTTTTGCGAATACACACCCACCGGATACCAATTTTCATATTTTTTTGTTTATAATATAAATAATCGTTGTGCACTAATTTCTTCTTGTTTCTTTTCGTTGTTAACACCTCCATAGTTAACTAACGTACGCACCATAGGCGTGCGCACGGGGTATGCAGGGTATGCCGCTGCATAGTCTGCGGCTTCATGTGAGGGGCCCAGTGGCGTATCCAAGGGGGGGGGGGGGCTAAGGGGGCTATAGCCCCCCCCATGGGCCGTGTTTATATGTATAATGTATCTTGACTATTTAATAGAATCAATGGATGCTCGTTTTAATCAAAGGCTTATTGATGTTATGCCACTTGAAGGACTTATTCCGGCCAATTTAAATATGTATGACGATAAAAATATTATAAAAACTGCTAAAATATATGTCCAAGATCTCCATGATGATACCTCATCTACAATCAGAGCTAACCTGTTCATATGGAGGCAACAATGGAGTCAAAATACTATTCCAAAACCGAATTCTGCTCTTGATTCACTCTCTCATCACACCAATCTTCGACCTAACATTAAAATACTTTTACAATTATTCGCCACGTTACCAGTTACCTCTTTCACTCCGGAAAGAACGTTTTCAGCACTTAATCTTTTAAAAATTTTTTTAAGAAGCACCATGTTGGAAAACAGACTGAATAGGTTAGCTATGGCTAATATAAATAGAGCAAGTGACTGAACACTGAAACTAAAATTATTATTATTATTATAAATTATATATTAATAAATATTTTTAAAACTATACTAAAATGCTTGAATTACGTTTAGAAACTTGGTGGTAGATGGTGAGGGGGGGGGGTAAGGCTGAATTCTCATATCCTCTCTTACCTTACTTATCCAAAAAAGTAGTTAGCTCCCCCATTTAAAAATCCTGGCTACGCCACTGGAGGGGCCTATATTTATCATTAAGTTAAGAAACTTTAAATTTAATTACCGCCACAGGAAATTTAAATCAATTAAAGCTTGATAGTAATGATATTTCAATATTGAAGGAAAAATTTAATTTGAATACTACATTTAAGTCTGAAATTAAGCTCATTACAAATATGTCTGATAGAACTTCTATTAGAGGGTTATCAACTAAAACAATTGTAGTATGGCTGAATTGGTTATCAGAAAACGACCGGAAAACAATATTTTCAAACTTCAATAAAGCTTTAACACAATTTGCAACAATACCTGTGACAAGCTGCTCGTGTGAGAGGGATTTTTCTAAATTGTCTATTGTAAAGTCTAAACAGTCTAAGGAAACACTATGTTACAAGAACGTCTTGATTCACTGATGTTAATATTTATCGAGCAAAAGATGGCATCAGAAATCAATATTGAAGATGTAATAGATGAATTCAAAGCATGTGTGCCGATTAAAAGAAGACTTGAACTTTAGATTTTAAGTACTCTCCATAAAATAACAACATTATAAATATGTTAAAATTATTCAAGAGCATTCAATATAGTACATAATTGATCTTAAATAAATAATAAATTTTTTTTTAATAAATATAAATCAAATTTCAAACTACTTATTTCTACAGTGCATTGTTTAATATTCTACTGTAAAATTATGTGTAATTTTAGATTCTAAGGGAAGTAAAGAAGCTACGTAGTATATATGCAAAAACTTAGATTGTGACTTGAATCTTATATGCGTTAAAAGAAAATGCAAATAAATTAAGGGAAGATTAGAAAATTTATTTGTGAGGGGCCCTATATTTCTTATTGCATAACCTGCGAATAAAGTCTGCGCACGCCTATGGTACGCACAATTACACAGAAAAACTATTACTGCGTAGTGTGCTCTGTGTATTCAGGGATGGTATAAAATATTATTTAGTCTTTACAATACAAATAGCAATAGTTTATAAAATTTTTCCACTGTCTGACAAGTAAATAATGGTCGAGTAATATCATCTGTTGATAAGAAGACTTTCGACAATGGATAATGTCATAAAGGTAATAAAGGTGTTCATAAAATTGTTAACTTGTTAGTCTATTTTTTTGAGCTAATTAATTTAGAACGTAATAACCTAACCTAACCGGAGGGCAAACGTCCTATGGGTAGGTAAAAAATAAATCTATATAACTACCGGGGCTCAAATTAGTATGACGTCCTCTTAATAATAGACGGGGACGAAACGTCCGTGGACTCGTTTCTTTTTACGAGGACTATACGTCCGCGATTCCATATTAGTACAAATACAATATAAATAGTGGTTCCTCTTTAAAATTAGTAAATGCAACATAATATACATGGTATTAACCGATCTCTTATCAGTGGTAATGAGCTAAGTTTTCGGGAGCTATCTTCATAAACAAAACCTTCTTTACTTAAAAAGTTAAATAGATTGAATACAATTTCAAATATGGATTGCAACGAAGAAATCCCATCCTGTAGTGAAGTTACTAAAGAAAAAATGGAAGATGAATCGTTGAAGTCACCTGTATGTCTCATTGTGTTGGGTATGGCAGGCTCAGGGAAAACTACATTTGTATCTAAGCTTGATTCATACTTAAAACAATTCAAAAGATCCCCGTATTTAGTTAACCTTGACCCAGCATGTAAAAATATGCCTTATAAGCCAAATATTGGTAAGATTAATCATTATTTCTCCCATGTTTTCAAATATTCCAATAAGTATTGATTTTTTTTTTTTTTTTTCATAGATATTAGAGATTCTGTGAAGTACAAACAAGTGATGAAGCGCTATGGCTTAGGTCCTAATGGCGCGATTGTTACCTCTTTAAATTTATATTCCACTAAATTTAATCAATTATTAGATCTCCTTGGAAAAGTCCATGTTGAAAATACTCATGATGTAGCTATTATAGATACACCTGGACAAATTGAAGTTTTTACATGGTCAGCTTCAGGTCAAATATTAACTGAATGCCTTGCATCAACATTCCCAACAGTTGTTGTATATGTTATGGATTTAGAACGAAGTACTAGTCCAATTACATTCATGTCTAACATGCTTTATGCATGTTCAGTTTTATACAAAACAAAATTACCATTCATAGTAGTTTTAAATAAAGTGAGTTTGGTAACCAAATGCTCAATTTTTTTAAAAAATATATTGTATATATACAACTTTTTTTCAATTTTAGAGTGATATTGTAGATCCATCATATGCAATTGAATGGATGCATGATTTTGAAACATTTTGTGATGCCATAGAAAAAGAGTCATCGTATATGTCAAATTTGACACGTACTATGGCATTAACTTTAGATGAATTTTATAGTGAATTAAATTGTGTACCTGTATCTTCAATTACAGGACATAATTTTGATGAATTTTTGAAAATGGTTGATTCATCGGCTGACGAATTTCAAAAGTATATTTTAATTTAATTTTATGATAATTGAATTTATATAATCTGATTTTAAATTGACCTAGGGAATATCGTGTTGAATGGGAAAAAATTCGCAAAGATAAATTGCAAGCAGAAATTTCAGAACTGAATAATAAATTAAATAGTTTAGAAGTTAGTAGTGGACAAGGAGAAAATGTAGATTTATTTAGTTCATTAAGTGCTGGGCGAGAGATTTCAGATGTTTATTTAGCACCAATGGCCGATGAAATGTCAGAAGATAGCGAAGGGGAAGAAGTACCTGGATTTAATCTTAATGGTAAGTATTTATCATTCGGTTAGTTTTCCTAACTTAGTAGAACATCATGTACAAATTTTGAGTTATAGGAAAGATAAAATTTTGATTTGATCCTTACATAAACACTATTGTAAAAGGTACATTTATTTAAATCTGAATATTTCATTAGCCCTGTTTATTTTCATCTTAGACAGATTTAATGTTTATATATTTATTGATTTGGTTATATTTTTGTAATTTGAAGCACATACTAATAATTAATTATAATATGAAAAATATATTTAAAATTTGGTATTATATTTACACTGATGGTTTATATGATTCAATGCATTCACCTGATCTGTTAAAAATGATGGCAGTAGTAGTTATGGAAGGGAAATTTTACGGTAGAAAATCAGAGAAAAAAATATTTTAAAGAGCTTTCAAAATGTAATTAAAATAATAATAAAAAAAGCTAATAAAGGTAGTTTTCAAAATAGTCTTCTAACAATCATAGTCATAATGGTGTAATGCATAATGGCATAATGATGTTATAATGTAAATGCCAATTTTTAAATTATATTAAAATTTTAAATATTTTACCAGTAGATATTTCATTTTCAGATTGAACACAAAGAAATTATTTTTAAGAAGCAAATTGAATTGGTATTTTGTCCATATTTGTGTTATATACTAATAATATTCATACTTAAATAAACTATTTTTATATGGATATATGTTTTAAAAATATTTTGGTTAAAATTTCAATTCATTGTATTATTATCCTTCCTCTTCACTTTTCTCCCAACTATTTGGGGTTGGCCACCCTTGTCCAAAACCTTTTCTTGTCTCGATTTTCTATATCCCCTACCCACACACCAATGGCTCTCATATCATTCTCAATCATATCTAACCATATCTTTTTTAGTCTTACTCTTCTTCTTTTCTCTTCAACGTTTATTTTCATTACCACTCTTACTGCTTTTGTTACCTCACACCTTATCATTTGTCTGAACCATCTCAGTCTATTTTCTCTTATCTTGTCTACTATCGACTCTATACCAATACTTCCTCTCATATATTCATCCTTATTCTATCTTTTCTTGTCACTCCACTCGTCCATCTAAGCATTCTCATTTCTGTAACATTCAAACTCTGAAGTTGTACACTAAGATTCATACTCACTTTTTAATTTTCATATCAAATGGTAAGTATACATGGTTGATGAATAGAACAATACAATTATAAATTATTCATGTTCTTTACAAATGTTGAGTAAATCATTGTGGTATTTTATTTTATAATGAATAAAATAAATTATATATAACAAATATTCAATAACTAGTCTATTGGTATAATACTGAATAGTGAATACTACAAACCATAATTAAATATCTGAATTTATTTAAAATTCAGTAGTTAAATAATGATATTATAATTATTATGCTTAATTTTATGAAAATAATAACTAAGCACCAAAATAACACTATACATGAGAATATGAATAATATTTACTTCAACAATTAATAGGTTTACATTTTCAACGGGCAAGTAACATGTAACAAAAATTTCACCAATATTTATTTTAAATTGGTATACATCAAACATTAATAATAAGTTAATAACTTTTTTTTTTTACAAATAAATAAAAAAAAATCATGGAATCTAAAAAAAGTATTAATATAATCACCAACTGTGCCGTATAAATTAAGTATCCGAATAAATTCTTATCATATCTTGCATTGTTGCTGGTAATTTAGTAATTGGACATCTAGATTCTATCATAAGTGATTTATGTAAACACTTGTAACAAAAAACAAACCTAAAGAAATTAGTATAACTTAAATAAATAAACACCATTAAAATATACAAATCGATTCTATCATAATTTAAAATAAAATGAGACAGCTGTGTTAACAAATATGGTCGTTAATTTGAATCCTGCCACCAACAGTTCAACTTTTTAGGCGGGATAATAACTTCAAAAGAAAAAATCTTTCTACACCCTTATCTAATCAAACCCAACGTATTTTACCAACCAATTCAAAACCTACATACCGTACCAAAAAAAAAAAAAACCTGCTTAGAGGGCTAATAATCTAAGTTGATATACTCTCACCAATAAATAATAATAAAAATTATGCTTATGTGTATAGATTTTTTTAACAAAAATATTGAAAATTGTGTATTAAAGCTAATTGGTTTTTTCTTAATATTTTACATGACTTAGAGCTATACTAATGCACAAAGTACATTAATATTACCACATTATAAATTAAAATTAACATATTTATGAAATAGAAAAGAAATGTATAAATTATTATTAAAATAATTTTGATAGATCAGAAAAGTAGATTAGTCAGACATAAAACTATAAAAAAAAATTATAAGTAAAATAATGGGCTTCTTGTATAAAGTAAAAATGTATAAAAACTAATAACTATATTTTTATTAAAAGTTAAATGATCATAGATTGAATATTATTTTTAGTATCAACAGCCTTTAATAAGATCAATAATATTTGTTTCGTTACCTACAATATTGAATAAACTACTAAAAAACTTACGGTTGTGAAAAAAAAACAAAATTTGATGAACACATACCCTGATACAGAAAGTGCAGTTGGCATTTTTCTTTCATTAATACATATCGGACATTTATTAGTTTTTCTGAGTGAATTATACTTATCAATTTCCTGTTAAATTATAATTTTATATAATTCAAAAATTGCAAGAATCTATTTACAATAAGAACTTTGTAAAACATACCTTTGGAGGATTAGGTATTGGATAAGCAATAAATTTTGACTGTAAATTTTCTGAATGCCATAAATTCAAAAACTGCATTAAAAATGCACCCAGTTCCAATGAATGAGTTAATCCATAGAATAAATAGTTCTTAAAATATTCTTTAACACTAAAAACAAAAACATTGTATTAAATTATTTTAATATATAATATAAAATTATGGATATTATGTACAATATTAAATGTTTTTAGTAACATTAAAATAATTTTCAGTTATTTTAATTGTCAATAAATTAATGATTGACTTACCTTAATTGAGCAAGAGGTTCATTATTTGTAGGTTCAATAGGTTTATAACTTAAAATCATTCCAGCCATATCTAATAATGGAGAATGTGATTGACTAGATCCATTTATATATTTAATGTAATATATTAGACATAGTGCTTCCCAACATGTATATACTATCTTATATAATTTTATAAATAATTTCTAAAACAACAACAATTAATCTAATAATATGAAAATATTCAAGATAATATTCCATACTATATATAGAAAATTTACAAAATCAAATCATACTACTGTATTCAATTAATTCTACATTAAGCAGGTTTTTATTTACTAATTATAATTGCATATTTTACACTAATTACATAATTTAAATCTATTTTTTTATAGTTATAAAAATAAACAGTAAATTTAATATAATTCACAAATCTATTAATAGTATAAAAATATTTAGTTTTCTATCAAGATAAATATTGAGAAATAAAAAGAAAAAATATTTAAAAAAAAAAAAACTTTTAAATTTTATTTATTTGTATGATTCATAGTATGATTAAAATACTAATATTTGTTTTTTAACAAGAAAATAATGGTTCATACATTTAAAAAAAAACAAATCTTAATTGATTAATAATATTTCATTACCTCTTTAAACTGCAATTTATATTTCTCTTGTAATTGTTCAACATAAATATTACATTTATTTCGTAAATAAGGCACACCAACGACTAATACTAAACTAATGTACAATTGATTATCAGTTAGTTTAAAATTGTTTGTATGAGAAAATCTGGTTAGGTTATAGAAATTTTCTGAAAATGTTCCTCCTAAAATAATTTTTTTTTTTTTTAATAAATGAACATTTTAAATTAGAATAGATATATTATTATTAATGGAGTAATTTTTCTCACCATATTTCTTCAAATAATGATATTGACATATGGAATTTATTGCTAGAAACACTTCATCAAAATACTGAATTAGCCATTTTAATTGATCAGGATTTTTAAGAACAATATACTATAACAACAAGACTTAAAAATTATAATTTAAAACCATTAGCTTAAAATAATAAAACTTACATTAATAATTTTTTTTATTGCTGGATAGCCCGTAGCGGATAGATTTTCCTGTGCAATCGCTTCAAAAATTGTTGGACGACCAACAATAGTTGTAGTATGATGAGCCGCTTTTTCTGCCATTTTAATTAATTTTACTGCATAAAATTAATTTATTTCAAATCAAATTTGTCAATAATTAAAAAATAAATTATCAATTTTATAATCAATTGTATAATATGTTAATTGAGCGATACAGTTAAATATTTAATGTTAATTTTGGGTAAATAATGAGAACGTTTTTAAATTTGTTATGAAAAATTTCTTGTTATCAATTTTTGAATTTTAATATATGTGATAGACATTTGATTATTTTATAATTTAAAATGTGTTGTTGATACGAATGGTAAATAATAATTGATAACTAAACCACTCATAATATCTATTATACTATTTAAATGTAATACATCGTAGTTTCTTCTATGGTCAGGACCATATTCAGACAAGCTTTCTCGATTATATGATGGGCCCCATTTGTAGTCCTTAAGCTTATGTTTTTTTACTAAAAACCTTAAGAGACTGTGGTAGGAGCTTGATAGGGAGATATGATTTGTATATTACATGCAAAGTATAGTATAATAATATATTCTACTTTAATCTCATGGAAACTCGGCGGTTAAAGTTATTCCACGAAATTAATTTCTTGCGAGAATCCGATCGGCCACATAATTGAGTTATTACGTTTCATATTATTGTTGTTATGTAATTACAGTGGCTTAGGTAAGGTTATCTATGCCTTTGATTAAATATACAAAAATTAAAATTAGTTATTGTTTATGTCTGAAAGTACATAATTTTTCTGAAATGTATCATCAACTATTACTATAAAAATAAAAAAAAAAAAACACAAAAATTAATATTAATTTTCATGTGTAATTAGACAATTTTTTTACTTGGAACTTAGGCCTAACCCTAAAAACATAAATGGATCCAGATTTAGTTTTCTTGGAGCCTGGTGAAGTTGAGTCATAGAATAGATTAAATTTAATCTATTTTATGGTCTTCCTCCCAGTGGCGGACGCAGGGAGGGGTTTTGGGGATTCAACCTCCCCCTCCCCCCGAAAATAATGGATGATTAATTTCAAACGTAGTTATCCTACATTATGTACTTTAATAAAAATGAATTGTCCAAAATACAATTAAAATATGCTAGAAAAAAAGTGTTTTGTCAAGAAAAGTGAATTTTTAAACGTTCTAAAAGGTATTGGTACTTAAAACTCAAATTTTTGAAATTCCATGATGGCAGTACTTCATAAAAATAATGCATGTTTGTGAGTCACTTATTATCAGTAAATAAAAATAAGTAAATATATGTTATCAATAAACTGCCATTGCTTTAACCATTTGTACATACATATTTTTTTCAAATAATTTGCATTATAAAAGTAGACCACATTAAATTTTAAGAAAATTATTATTCATTATCAATATATTAGTATTTTGAAAGATAAGTATGTATTTTTTACATCATTCTCATCAATATATATTTAATTTATTGTAGTATACAGTTTAAAATATTTAATAGATGATTGTAACAAAGCAAAATTGTGTTATTACTTTAAGTAATATTACATAATATACTTCCAAAATGTGTGAGTATATGTACACTTTAAAATAATTAGCAAAGAAGAGTAATTAATTTAATTAAGAAACCATCAGTATTATGACATTTTTATTTGTATGGTCACAATAATGTGATATAATATTAGTGATCCATGTTTCAGAAATTATTACGTACCAATTTAATTTATTTTATATAAATTTGCAATAAGAATATAAAGTACAATGATAAATTTAAAATGTAATTTGTTTGCATTTATACATCCCCTCATTATAAATCATACTACAACAACATGAGATGTTCAAGGTAGTTGATTGTGAAAAATGTACTATTAGCATCAAATATTTGATGATAACATCACTGAAAAATATTTAAGTCCAGATTGAAGATTGTCTTACACTTAAACACTATACAATTGGTTTTTACTTATTCAAATAATTTTAACAAAAATAATAATACATGTATTTCAAATAAATTAAAAACAATTTTACATAATATTTTGGTTAAACAACAAATTTATAATAATTTAAGATTTTACTTTAAATAATAGGAAATTGAACATCAATATATTTTATCAGTACATCTCTTAAAAAATAATTTACATCTATTAAACATAAGATTTATAGTTGGTATAATTAACTTACAAATTCAATTAATTAAATATTTGTTTTTATTTTACTGAATAATTATATAAGTTAATAATTTAAAGTAATTATCCTCTTTTTCACTTCCTTCAGCCCTAAATAATAAGGAATAAAGGACAGTTTTATATTTTACAGTTAAAAAAATAATATATACATTCTTCACTAATGCAAAGTTGTTTCAAACATATTTGTTAAATTTTGAAATATAATTTTATAACTTTTTAACAATGACATCATTGTACATTTGACATGTAATACAAAAGCACATGTTGAACTACTCGTCAAAGAATATTTGGTATTTTTCGTCTAGAATGCCAAACAGAAAATTTATTATAGGCAGTATGCAACATTAAATTTAAATGATTTGTGAGCTGATTTAAATGACCGTGGTTAATAATGATTTGATCTTCAAAAGGCTTTATTTTAGCATTTTGAAATTTACGTAGAGAATCATGAGTTTTAATCAATTTTTCTTCTAAAGTTGGTGTTGTCACAGGAAAACAAGACCAAAAATGTCTTAAAAGTTCACCTAAAGAAATATATAACTGGCGCAAATCTTTTTCAACTGTAACTGGCACTAACTGTGCTAATGAAGCTGACTCGTCACTAATTCCTTTCAT